ACAGCATCCTTGATTACAGCAACTCTAGGTTTGAATCTGTTCTTCAGTTCCTTGAGCTTAAGAAATGCTGAGCGAGTTCGGCCCTTTTGATTTTCTGGCTAGCACGCATTATTCTGAGTGAACTGAGGGGCTGAAGAACAAGGACTGTCTAAGACCATTATGCAAAGCAGAGGCAAACTGGTAAGATGTGCACGGACCCAAAGCAGGAGGAGAGGAAGGGGGCCTAGGGTCCAGGAGGGGAGTCAGGGGGTCGCAGAGTTTCATGAGTGGTAGGAGGGGGTGAAAATAAACCCCAAACAATATACATGGATGAAACACAATATAAATAAATTATTGTATGCAAACCAGATTTGGTTGTGTTTTTTTTTAAAGCAGCCTTTCTGGATCTCCACCTTCCCATTTGTGTCAGAGCTACTACAAACTGGTCTTAGGGCCCCTGTCTCGGGGGAGAGATGACACAGATGGTCTGATGTCACCCAGGGGATCCCAGCTGGCCCATGTGTTGCCCTGCGCCACGTGACCTGTGACCAGCATCAACCAGGTAGAGGACACACCAGCCCGGCCCTCACTCCACTTGTTGCTCAAAGCAAGGGGTGGCAGACACAGCCCAGAGGTCAGGCTGCCACCAGGTCAGAGCTGAAAGGGCCCAAGAGCAGCAGACCGGATCTTCATGTGGAAAATGAGGCCACTCAGCACCTCTCTTGGCGGACAGTGGGCAGATGGGGAGTCGCATGGCAAGGTCAGGAACGGGGAGTGCCACAAGCGAGGACGGCTGTCTCTGAGGCTGACACTTCTCAGCCCATCCTGTGAGAGCCAAGTGTGGCTGCGGCGGACACCTACCCTGAGAGGCACAGTACTCAGGAGCGCACGGGGCCAGGTTCTGCAGCGCCTTCGCCGACAGCTCTCGAATGACCCTGCAGGAGGGGAACAGGGGGTTGGTCCCTTCATTTGATGGTTCTAATTTCAGTTAATTCATAAAAAGAAGACAAAAACCAGTACTCATTAAGGCCATCAACTGGCCATTTAGGCAGAAAAACAGCAAATAAATGACTAATCTTTCCCAATGACCTGCTTTCCCTGTTACTCTACAATCACCTCTAAAAGACAAGTGACAAATCCAATCTCAGTGAATTGTGAAAAAGCAGACACAGAACCCTGATGTGCAGAGCCTTGAGCTGGGCTGCTACCAAGGCAGAGATTCTCCGCAGCCCAGGCCTCCTGGGAAGATGGCTTGCCTCACTGTGAAGATCACAGCCTCAGACCCCAACAGTAGGTCGTCACAAGTCAGAACCAACAAGAGAAGACTTGCTAACACTTGCTCAGCAAGACCAAGGTCAGAGAGAGGCCTGCCTGAGGGCATGGCAGGAAGTGGCTGCCAGGTCAGCACACTGGATTCTGAGGTGCTCCTGACTTTGAATCTGTTACTTCTCTATATTGAATTCTATGTGGTCACTGCAATCAGTCACCGAGCTCAGCAGAGTATTAGAGAGGGTCATGAAATGAGGGTCATTTCCACAGAAATACTTAAGCCTGAGTGTTCATAGTGGCTTTTTTCATTACAGTCTCATATTAGAAACAATACAAATTTAGAAATAAATTTTTAAAAAATATAAAACCAAACAAAATATTAATACACTGGTGGTCTAGTGTTAAGAAGCTGCACTACAATTCCAAAGGCACATGGTTCAAATCCACCAGCTGCTCCAGGAGAGAAATGGACAATCTCTTCCCGTGTGATTAACTGCCTCTGAAAACCCACTGAGGTGTTCAACACAACATAGCATGTTGCTGTTAGTGATGTGTACTGTCAAGTCGGAACCAACCCACAGCTGACGCTTCAGCATCATAGCATGAAGACGCCTAAAACGCACGCCAAGTGAAGGAGGCCAGCCACAAGCAGCCATGTGTCATGTGATACAGCTCTTGGTGGCACAGTGGTGAAACGGTTATGTAAACTGTGAACCCACCAGCCATTCCAGGAGGAGCAGAGCCATTTGCTTCTGTAAAGGCTGCACCCTTTGACGTTCACCAAGACAATTCTTCCCTGTTCTACAGGGCCACTAGGAGTCAAAACCAACTGGGTAACAGGAAGATGGCCTTTCTGCTTATGTCCATGCATCCATAAAGGTCCTAAATGCCTTTACTTATACATACAGAATTGGTTAAGTTTCACACTATGTAAGTGATGCTCCAGAGATCGAGAACCCTGAAATGACTTGACCCAATACTGGCTTCCTGTGACCCTGCGCGTCCACTGACACAGGCCAGGTCAGTGACTTAGTCTTGAAAGGCTAGCGGGTTAAGACTTGAGGTTGGCCGCCCACATGACCGCCTTGCTGTTAGGTGTCATGTACGCCTCATAGTGACCGTGTAAAAAACTGAGAATCTGAGCCTCATCCTCTCCTGTGCCATCGTCTCCATCTCTTATAGACTGGAGGTCATTTTCAGTCACTTTGTCGATCCATTTCATTGAGGGTCTTCCTTTCTTATGCTGACTCTCTACCTCCACAAAGAAACTCCTTCCTCTCAGAGAACTTATCCTCACAGAGAAGGCCCTCCCCCATATGGAGAAGGCTCTGCTTAAAGAGAAGGTTCCCCTCACAGGGAAGTCCCCCCAATGAGATGACACTCCTCACAAAGAAAGCCAACCCTCACAGAGAGGTTATGTCCCCACAGACAAGACCCCCGTTTCCCAGAAGAGACCGCTTCTCCCAGAGAAGACCCATTAGGAAGAAGGCCCTGTGTAGATTCCACACCAAGAGAGATACCAAAAGAGCTGCTCGCAGATGGGAGAATCAATAGTTCTAAAGTCATGGTCATTACAGAAGCTGACAAGAGGGCCTAGAGGATCAGGAAGCACTTTCTAGAGGACCTGGGAGCCTGGACCTGTTCCTAAGAAGACCACCTGCATCTAGGCCAGCCTATTGTACCACATGCAGCAACACCAAGTTTTACGTAAAGTACTACTAGACCTTCTGGAGGTGGGGGCATAGCATTCCAATGTTCTGGATAAACTTCTAGCCTTTTCTTTGGAGACACCTTTAAGTGCCTGTGAAATGCATGCTGGGAGATCTGTCCCATTCACACCAACACTGCTGCACCCACATAGACACATTCACCTCTGCTGGACCAAGGTCTCTAGAGAGAAAGCTAAGGACAGAGGGTTATCCAGGACATCAGATGTGGAGACAGGGATTCACATTATTCACAGAAGTTAGCTGAATTTATTAGGGGCTCTATGCTGCCAACCAAAAGGAAAGCAGTTCAAACCCATAGCTACTCCTCAGGTGAAAGATGGAAAGCCTCCTCTCATGAGATTTAGAGCCTCTGAAAACCCACTGGAGGGTCAATTATGAGTCAGTTCTAACGCAATGGCAATGTATGAGTGAGTGATTAACACCTCACTTCTATCCAGGCAATCACGACCCACAGCAACCCTCCACTACGTTTCTGAGGCTGTAAATTTCTGGTTCTCCTCCTGCCACGGAGCAGCTAGTCTATCAGAACTGCAGACCTTTGAGAAGATGAACGCAAAGCTTACAAACTCCTAGTTATTTCTGCTTTTGGGAAAAAAATAAGAATTCTTATCTGACAGGTAAGCTAATATCCATGCTAATTAGAGGAGCACAAGAAGACCACACCTACCTGTCCCAGTGAGTGATCTTCATGGTAACCAGATGGTCAATCATGGGTTGGGTGTACTCAGGGAAGCCAGCGATGAACACACTGAAAAAGGAACCAAATGTCTGGTCACTAGGGACACACATATGTGGAGCAAAGAACCTCCTGAAATAGACATGGCAGTACTGTAGACAGAACTTCATTTAAAAAAGAGAGAGGATAATCCTAACGGCCGACAGAGATACCACAGACCAGAGCTCCAGGAAGAGACTCCAGGAAGACCTGGAGTCAAAGGACACGAGAAGTGACAATCTTCACCTCTGAGGGCACTTGAGAGATACCACACCACAGACCAACCTGCCCACAGACCACACCTGCAAGGCCACCCCTTTCCTCTCTTCACCTGTGACATATGCAGTTGGAACTGCGGTCACATCCTGCAGGGTCTCATGACACAGATCAAACTAAACTCGCTCAGAAGCTCAGGTCTGACCCTTTCTCAGTGACCATGGTGTATGAAGCAGCGGTGTGTCCTGACATGATACCACTGTAACCTCAAGAAGCCAGCGAGTGAGCAGGTCAACACACAGGTGGAGCTAAGAATCCTCAAGCTTGCTCTCCAATGCAGGCTGGATCGAGCAAACAGAGCACTAAAAGCAATTCTAGGACAGCATTTCACATACACAGGATGTCAGAGGAAGAACAACCGTATGAAGTAGAGACATGACTACTATTTTATAAAGAAGAAAAAGGAAACAACTCAAACTGAAATGATAGAAATTAAAAATCTCCTACTGAACACCCTGTGGGAATGAGTTACGGGTCTCAGCTAGGCCAATCAGCACAGCATATCCACAGAAACAATTTCCTCACTACACTGAGTACAGCAACTGGGACGAAGCTTTGTGTGTAGCTGTCTAAAGTGTAGCACTTGGTCTCTCCCCATCTAGAGCACAGATACATGGAGACAGTCTGAAATGCATGGAGACAACTAGTCCACAGCTCTAACAGACCTCCCGGACTGCACCTTCCACAACCTTGAGATGAGAACTGCCTGCCAACCAGTGCTGACCACTCTGAATACTACTACAAGAGAGGATTCAGGATAGACCAGGAGAGAACTGCAGAATAAAACTCAAAATGACAACAATGACCAGTCTCGTTGTCTGACAGAGACTGGAGGACGCCCCCGACTACGGCCCAGAGGTGCCCTATGAGCCTAGAACTGAATTTACCCTTGAGTCAAACACCACACAGATTTATAAGGTTAACAGTGGTACCTGGGAGGCACTAAGCCCTTAGAGCAAACGACCACTCAAGATGACAAAGGCAGAGCTCACTCAGAAGGTAGGAGGGAAAGAACAAAGGACAAAGGGATACCAGAACACAGAAACACTGGCCAGAGTGATGACATAATATGCTGACTGTTTAGAAAAACAACTCTGCTGTTTGAGATTGAGTTACAGATAAAATCATAGATAAGAGGTTAGGCCCCTGGACGACACAGCAATAAAACGATCCAAAATGCAAAAAAAGAGAAAAAGCAGCAAAAACAGAGTAGCCATGAGCTTTGGGACAACTTCTGCTGACCTAAGACATGTGAGACTGGGCTGGTGGGAGAGGAAGGGACAGCACGAATAAAGATTATCAATGTCCACAAACACCAAATGCTGCTGAGGCTGTGGAGAGACTGGAACCTTATTCACTGCTGGCTGGAATGTAAAATGGTGCAATCACTATGGAAGGCAGTTTGGCGCTTTCACAAAAAGTTGGAAATAGAAATACCATTTGACCCCGCAATTGTACTGCTGGGAATATACCCTAAAGAAACCAGAACTGCATCCAAACAGATGTATGCAAACCCATGTTTACTGTTGTGTTATTCACAATAGCAAAGAGATGTAAACAAGCCAAATGCCCATCAACAAACAAATAGATAGAAAAACCATGGTATAGTCACACAATGGAAAATTATGCAGCACTGAGAAAAACAATGACCTTGAAAATCATCACACAACATGGGTGACCCTGGAGGACATTATGTTGCGTGAAATGTCTCATTCACAAAAAGACAAATACTGCTTAACACCCTTACGAAGCAGGGCTGACATGGGGAGTTGGGAGGAAAATAGGAAAAGAGTGGACAGATAATAAACACTATTTTGGAACAAATGAGGGAGAGAACTGTTTAAAAGAATATATTATTAAGCATTACATGTAAGAAAATGGTACAGAAGAAGAGGTACATGGCAAAGAGGACTGGAGGAGAAACAGGAAGAATATTGTGCAAAAATGAATGAGTATTTTAAAAAATAAAGTGAACGGGGGAAGGGGGAAAGGAGGGGGAGGGAGAAAAATGTGCAACAATGAACGAATGAAAATCCAACTTTTCTGTAAACTTTCAAAGGATAGATCATTAAAAAAAAAGAAAAGAGATTATCAATGTCCAAACACTTTCCCAATGTTGATGGGTTAGGTTAATGAGTCTGTCCCACCTCAGCAAATCACGGCTTTTCCAGTGAGCTCTGGATAGCCACCGAGTTAGACAGCACTGAGTTTCGGTCAATATAAAAGAGTCATGTGTAATATATTCTCGGACCACAAATTAATAAAATCACAAATGAGTAACAGAAAGAGTGGGAAAATCCACAAGTATTTGGAAAGTAATGACTTGACTTCTAAGGAAGGCATAAGTCAAAGAAGACATAAAAAGTGACGTAAGAACACATTTTCAAGTCACTGAAAAGTTACATTTCTAGACCTGAGCATCTATATGAATGGGGTAGGGAGAAGTCACCAAACCATGCCAGGAAACTGGACAAGAAAGAAAAGCAAAGTAAGCAGAAGAAAACAAGCAATAAAGACAGAAGCAGAAGTCAACAAAATAGAAAAACAAAAGATACCAATCAGTGGAATAAAAGCTGATTCTCATGCACACCCATGTTTATCGCGGCTTTGTTCAGAATAGCAAGGAGTTGGAAGCAACCTAAGTGCCCATCAACAAATGAATGGATATTCGTTTGGTAGATATTCGCTGTGGTATATTCACACAATGGAAGACTATGCTGCATTGAAAAACAAGGAACTCATGCAATATTATTCAGAATGGGTGACCCTGGAGGACATGATGCTGAGTGAAGTATCTCGGTCACAAAAGGGACAAATACTGCATGGTGCCACTGTTGTAAAACATGAGTGACCTTGGGGTTAGGGGAAGACTGAGAAAGATGGGCTCAATAACGTATACTGCATTGAAACAGATGAGGGAGAAAACTGTTTAGGAGGGATATGTGATTAAGTATTTTTGTCATGACAGGAGTCCAGAGCGAAGGCTGCATAGCAGAGTGGACCTGGGGGAGGGATTGTAAAACAATGAAAGAATTTTTCTTTTACATTTCCAAGAGGGTAGTGTACTAGGGGGAAGGGTTGGGAGGGGAGAAAAATGCAACAATGAATGAATGGAAATCCAAAGTCTCTGTAAATTTTCACTTAAATTAATAATAAATTTTTTTTAAAAAGCTGATTCTCTGAAAATTTTTTTAAAAAAAGGTAAACTTCTAATTAGACCATGAATAAAAAAACAGTAACACTAAAATACTGATAAAAATGATGTAGAAAGAATAACACAGGAATACCAGGAGAGACAGGTCTAAGAAAGTAATAAAGGGATGCTGAGTGTGGAAACTACAGAACAATATCATTGATTTCACTTGCAAGCAAGATTCTACTGAAGATTATCCAAAAACGACTAGAACAGCACATCAGCAGAGAACTGCCAGAAGTCCAGGCTGGGTTTAGAAGGAGTCGTGGTACTAGGGATATTGTTGCTGATGTTAGATGGATCTTAGCTGAAAGCAGAGAATACCAAAAGAATGTCTATCTGTGTTTCATTGACTATGCAAAGGCATTTGACTGCGTGGATCATAACAAACTGTGGCTGACTCTGAGAAGAATGGGAATCCCAGAACATTTAATCGTGCTAATGCGAAACCTATACTTGGACCAAGAGGCAGTCGTCAGAACAGAGCAAGGTAACACTGCATGGTTCAAAATTGGGAAGGGTGTACGTCAGGGATGTGTCCTGTCTCCATACCTTTTCAACCTGTATGCAGAACAGATTATCCGAGAGGCTGGGCTCTATGAGGAGAAGCGTGGCGTTAGGATTGGTGGACGATCTATCAACAATCTGCGTTATGAAGATGACACAACCTTGCTCACTGAAACTGAGGAGGACCTCTTGCACTTACTGCAGAGGGTCAAGGACTGCAGCCTTCAATATGGACTGAGGCTCAATGTCCAGAAGACAAAAATTCTCACCACTGAACCAATCGGTAGCATCAGGATGAATGGCAAAAAGATTGAGATTGTTCACAGCTTCAGTTTGCTCGGCTCCAAGGTCAACACTCTTGGCACCAGTAGCCAGGAAATCAAAAAACATATTGCGATGGGAAAGTCTGCGGTTAGGGACCTCGCCAAAGTCCTCAAGAGCAACGGTGTCTCTCTGGAGACTAAGGTCCTCCTGATACAGGCCATGATTTTTGCAATTGCTTGTTACGCATCAGAGAGCTGGACAATGACTAGGGAAGATAGAAGGAGAATTGACGCCTTTGAGCTGTGGTGCTGGAGAAGAGTATTGAATGTACCATGGACTGCCAAGAAAACAAACAGATTCATCCTAGAGAGGGTTAAACCAGGCTGCTCCTTGGAGGCAAGGATTCTGGGGCTTCGTCTGACATACTTTGGACATGGTGTAAGGAGAGGCAGGTCCCTCTATGAGGTGGATTGATTCAGTGACTGGGGTAATCGGGATGGGTGTGTCAGAGGCAATGAGATTGGCACAGGATAGAGCACAGTTTAGGGCTGTTGTACACAGGGTCGCTATGAGTCGCAAACGACTCGACAGCACATAACAACAACATGGAGAACTTCAAGGGGTAACACTAATAAAGAAGAGGAGGAATGGCACATTCCCAGAGCAACCTCGAGCCTAGCACTTGCTTTGAGTTAGTTTACTTAGTGGATAAAAAGGAGGCGAGTCCACACAAAATACATGTGCTAACATTGACAAGCAAAAAAATGAAAGAGAGACTGGAAAAAGGGAAGAAGCCTAATGCACCTAAGTCGTCGGATGCTGAGAGCTGTGCAGGGCCGAGGACGCGGGCGGCGGCCTGGACAGTCCTGGCAAAGAGGCCAACAGTTACGGGCAGAAAAAAACAACTGTCCATGCTGGTTATGGAGACACTGTGATATCTGCAAAGTCTGCAAAGGAGTCCCAGGGGATGCAGGGCAAGATTTTCTGGCCTAACTTAAAGAAAATAAATCATTACCTCAAGTAAGTAGTATAAGGATTAACAAAGCACGTACTTTCCCAGTTCTTAAACTATTCAGTTAAGATAATTTTATGTGATTTCTACAAACTGCAATTGGGGTAACTGAATTTTTATTGTGTGACCTGGTTTCTCACTCATCTCATAAACAATGCGGAGGTAACTTCTACTTGGGAAACAAGTCAGTTCCAATCAGGGCCTCCGTGTCAGAGCTGCGGCTGATGACACTTGGAGGCCACTGCCACAAAGCAGCAAGGCTCCCAGCTATTACCCGTGAAGCAGTGAGCCCTACAGATGGCCTAAACATGATGTGTGAAGACAGCAACAACCAGACAGCTAACCCCACGCCACCATGCTGGGGCCACCTCGGCAAAGGCTGTGCCAACACCTCCTCGGCAGACACCCTCAATCAACCACCGTGACGGGCCAAGAGGGCCCACCAAGGTGTAGTGGAGTCAGGCTCTGCCTCAGTCCACCTGGGGTTTGCACACATAAGCCACACTGGTTTTCCGTGGACCTTGCAGGATGAAGGAGACAAGCGGTTTTCAACATGGAAATCAAAGGAAATACAATAATTCAGGCCAAAAGCTGAAGACTTACCTTATAGCCAGGAAACAGTTGGATCTGTTCCCAACAGCAAAATAGTCAGCAGTGGTCAGAATATCAATTCCATGAGGAAAAGTGCCCTGAGGGGAAGTGAAATGGAAAAGGTGAGCTGCCCGCTGATAAGCCCGGCCGAAGCCCCGTTTCCGGCACTGTGCACACCACGTCCCCTAAACGCAGTCGCTCCCCTTGTGGTCTTGGCCTAGAGTAAGGCAGCCCTTCTTGGGCTACAGACTTCTATAAAATAACTCAATCTCTTGAAAAAACTTCATTTTGAAACAGCTCAATCATTTCAACTTTAAAAAGTCCTCTGACCCTGAATACAACACTCCCAGAGATAAATTCATCCCCAAGATGAAAGTCACTAGCTAGGACCCCAAGATTCCTAAGTCTGCCTCCCTTGCAACTTGCCGAGAAGGGTCAGAGGGACAGCCTGGTCCAGTGACTAGACAAAACCCACACTTCAGATGGCAAATGCCAAGACAAGACACGCACCCACAACTGCACACAGCTAGCATCTAACAGCCAGCACCCCACGGGGTGAGGACAAACAGCAAAATCCTAGGCCCAGAATGGGATGGGTGCCTCCTTCTACTATCAGAACCTGAGCCTCTGTCCCCACCGACAGCTGGCAGGTCTACTGACAAAAGTAGCTGAAAACTAAAAACAAAAGAAACATTTTTAAGAAAATATAAATGACAAAATTTTAACCAAGAAGCATAAAGCCTCAGAAGTATCAACCACAAAAGAAATCTTTAAGACATGTCAGAGGACACGCAGAGAATGCCCTCATTCACCTGTGGGCGGTTTCAGTGGAGTCCACTCGTTCTCTCTTGGAAGAACTGTCTAATTCTCAGGCCCAACAGCCAGCAGAAGCGGAGCTCACAAACACAAACCCAGCCACCAATTCCCTTTCTCTTAAGTCCCGTCCTCACACTATGGGAAAACCATACTCAAATTTTTGTCAACACAGCCCAGCCAGTCCTCTGTAAGACCAGCAAGGGGCTTCCACAAACTCCTTAGCCATCTCCAGGTCCATGATGGGAATAAAAAAACCATGGGCACCCCTTTGCCAAGGATGGGGCCTCCTTCCAGACTACCTCAACAACATGTGAACATGTTCTGACCCCTCCAGAAAAGAGACAAGGATGTCACCCTGAGTCCCTCCCGCACTCCCCCAGAAGAGTTTCAAGATGGGATTTTCATCCTGCTTTCTCTCAAGATGGGAAGGAGACTCAGGATGTTGAAAGTGGTTAACGCCCTTGAATGCAAACTCGAAGTTTAGAATGAGACGGGTCTGCGAGCTCCAGACATGGCACAGCCTTGGGAACCTATGGGACCTACTTCTGCTCATGATGACGTTTCCACGAGCCAGCACCCACCGAGCAGGGACAGGCTTTACAATGATGATCATAAACATCAACTGGCCAAAAGGGCTGAAACCACTGCCCACTCACATCCACGTCCCGTCTGTGTGTCCAGGCCCCCTCACAACCATGTCCTGGGTGCCCAGGCCCCCTCACATCCACGTCCCCCACCTCGGTGCCCAAGTCCCCTCACATCCACATCCTGTGTGCCCGGGCCCCCTCACATCCACGTCCCCCACCTCGGTGCCCAAGTCCCCTCACATCCACATCCTGTGTGCCCGGGCCCCCTCACGTCCACGTCCCCCACCTTAGTACCCAGGCCCCCTCATGCCTATATCTCTGGGGAACCCATCGCCCATGGTCTGCAGTGCAGAAGCTCCAGAGTCCTGCAAGAAGGAACTACAAAGAGAAGCGCCTGGGTCGAGCATGCCCTGTCTCTAGGGTAAACTCTTTCCCACGCTGGACAAGCAACTTCCTACGGTGCAGCTTTCAAGGTTCTTCTCCACCTGCAAGAAGCTTCAGGAATGAAGACTTTAAAGTAGCCTTACCTGTCTTCCCACATTCTCCTGGAAAGCAGCCTAGGAACAGAAGAACAAACAAACAAAGCAAGGTGAGCCGGGTTTGCTTTCTGCTAAACATCAGAAGATAAACGAGAACACACAGCACAGCGTAAATGACCCGTGGCTTTGCTTTTTACACAGAAGCCTTTATTGTTAGTTGGACAGCCCCAGGGTGCTGAGTCCTAACGCTCTCAGAGACTGGTGTGTGGCCTGGTGACCGTCCCCACATGTAGGCTGCAGGCAGGCAGGTTCTCAGCACTAAGCCTAGCACAAACCCAGGACTCTAGCACCCAGACCCTTTTCCTGGTGGCTGTGTGGGGAATGCTGCATGGGAGTGCCCGCACTGTCCCCCAAAGGCTGTGTGCCCACAGTGGCCATGACAAGTCTCAGCAGGCACTGTCCTGCCAGAGGCCGTGACGAGTGCTTGGTGGGTGTTGCCCCAGGCTGCACACAGAGAAAGGGGTGCACAGGGCACTGGGTGACACAGAGCTCAGGCCCCGGGCTCCCTTCCAAGCTGGCAGGTTTCCCTGTAATGCAGCAGTGCCCTATGCAGATGTGACCACAGGTCAGGAGAGCTGGCAGAGACGAGGGTTTGCACCAACCACAACTCCCACTTCTGTTTATCACTCACTGATCTCCCAGTCCAGTCCCCTAAGAGCAGCATGTCCACGGTGGGAGAACCAGCCAAAATTACCGTCACATAAGCTGTGTTCTCAGCACTACACAGGCCAGAGCAGGTGTGGGATCAAAGGTCAAAGGTGGGAATCAGGAGGCAGGGCTGCAGAGGCCACAGTCAGCAAGAGCGGGCTCAGACCCAGAGGACTCAGAGCCCTGTGGGCCGAAGTCAGTGGGCAAAGCTGGGGCTCTGACCATGGCAGCAGCTTCCTGAGGACAGGCTGAGGAGGGTTCCATAGCCTCCAGTCAGCCTCTACCACGGGGTCACAGGGAGCAGACAGGAAGATAAACAAACAGCAAATGAAGAACTCATTGGCAGTAAGAGAGACGCAAATCAAAACCATCTCAACCCAGAAGGAGTGAGTGATAAATGTTGGAGAGCACGTGGAGAGACAGAATTCATACATTGCTGGTGGGACTGTAAAATGGTACAAGCATTCTGGAAGGCAGTCTTGCATTTCCTCAAAAAGCTGAACATAGAAATTCCATACGATCCAGCTATTCCACTGCTTGGAATACACCCTGAGACCATGAGAATTGAGACATAAATGGAGACTTGAACGCCAATGTTCATAGCAGTGTTATTCACCATTGCAAGAACATGGAAACAGCCCAAATGTCCAACCACAATGAAATGAATTGAGAAATTATCATACATTCACACGATGGAATACTGTGTAGCATGTAACAGCAATGATTCTGAAAATTACTACCTAACTTAAGAGGGACTTGAGAGCATTATGCTAAGTGAACTAATTCAGTCCCATAAGGACAAATACTGTATAAGGCTATTATTACATAAATACGTAACTAGTAAAATGAGTATGAGGATCGAAGGGGGGAGGGAGGAGTAGAAGGGTGAGGCTGGCTGGGTTCATAGGATCACACAATCTGATGGGTGGAAGGAGGGGTGGGTAAAGGAAATGGGAAAGATCTGATGTGAAAAACAAGTACGCAAACTTTGTAAGTAAGCCACCATAAAAGAAAAATTTTATTTAAAAGGAGAGTATGGCACTAGGACCCCACAGCCTATGCCAGCCCCATAATGCATCTAGCATACGTCCCTGTGGCTAACAGCCTGACAGATCGTGCAGGAATCCAGACTACTGGCTGTCTCGGGGTGGGACGTGGTGTGTCAGGGACAACCCGTGGAGCAGGAGGGGAGGGAATTACTCTTTCCACTAAGACGTTGAAGGAATACAAGTTCAGCCAAGCAACAGCAGCACATGGATGAGGTGCCCTGTAAATCACACACTGTCTGAGGACTGATCTGAAACGGCAGAAAAACACAGTATTCCATGAAAAAGCTCAAGCCCTAAATCAAACACATCACACTGGAAAAGAAGAAACAATAAGGCTGACTGCATAGCTGCAGCAGCGTCAACAGTGCCGGGCAGACGGGAAGGCACGTAGAGACCAAGGGACAGGTCTGAGCGCCAGAGACAGAGCCCAGGGCACCCAAGTGCCCTCTGGCAAAGGTGCCCCTGTAAGCAGTGAGAGAAGACGTGCGTGCCTACTTACCTGAGAGGCTGCAGAGGTACATGGGGGGATGGTGCCATGTACTCAGTTTGAACCTAGAGCGACTACAGAGAACAGGGCCCAGCTCTGCTCAATTCTGCACCAACCTCACCATGGCCACTGTGTAAGCCACTGTTGTGTCCCCAAGTCAACCCATCTCCTGAGGGTCATCCTCTCCTCCTCTGACCTTTCCAAACAGGCCTGGCCCCTCCTGACCAGCCCAATGGAAAGCAGAACTGGTGCCAGTCTGAATCACACTGAGAGGCAGCAGAGCTGCCAATGGGAATGAAAATGTTCTGAGGAGGCTACACCACAGCTGGAGGAGGGAGCTGGGAACGGGGGGGAGGAAGCCACGAGAGCCCCTCCTGCCCTGGCTGCTGGACTGAAGGAGGACAGTGAAGAGCAGTCAAGCCCCTGCCCCAAAAGCCACAAAGTATTCACTGGTCACCCTCCCAAAGGCCCAGCAGGACTGAAGGGGTGCCACAGTGTGAAGCCAAGGGCAACTGTGGCAAATGTGAGGGTCTATGAAAGCTCACCACACGGGTCCTCACAGGCGTTCACACATCTGCAGAGCACCTTTGATCCCAGGGGACAGAGGAGCAAAAAAACAACTCTCAAGTGTAGCTGTCATCAGAGCATGTGCTGTGCAGGGAGTCACACTCCTACTGTGAGTACCCAACCAAGTCGTTCTGAGGGCTCCCCAGATGCTGAAGACAGAAGGGGCATACTCACAATACAAGCACATTCTCATAACCCTGAGTGGTTTCTAGGGTAGGAGTAGCCCATTCAAAGCCACAGGAGACCTCAGATGTCCATCTTCACATCACAAAGGGCCAGACAGGGGTCATGAAAACTAGCTCCAGGCAGAGAGAAGCTGAAGACTAATCCTCGCCTTCCTCTCTCCCCAGTGCACCCAGTAAAGCCAAGTATCAATTTCTGTCGTGATGGGCAAAGGCTGAGCAGGGCAGAAGGCCCTCAGGCCTAGACCCTGATGGGGAGACCCCACCCTAAATGCCACAACGTCTGCGACATGAGAGGCAGAAGGTACATAAAACACCTCTGGTGGCTCAGATGATGTGCAGAAATCCTTGACTACAGGAAATATAGATATGCCAAACAGACTACACTGAGCAAGAGACCAACACCTTACAAGACAAGAAACACAGGCCCATGTGTTGATGCACACCAGCTCAAGTGACACCTGCAGCAGGGCTGGGCATGAAAGGTGGGATTTGCCAGGAGTGAAGGCTGACCTGACACCTACACTCCATTAATGTACCACATCCACAGAGTGAAGGGCTAAAGCCACAGTGACCCCTGTACTTGCAGAAAAAGCACTGACTATAGCCAATGACAGCTCAGCGTCAAGAAAACAAAAGCCTTCATCAATGGACCAAAAGGCAGCATCATGATAGATGAGAAAAGACTATTGCCAATGACAGCTCACCATCAAGAAAACAAAATTCCTCACCAAAAGACAGACGGAGAAAAGACTGATATTGCCAAAGATTACATCTCACTTGAGTCCTCAATAAACAACTCCCATATTAAGCTAAAAGTTGGCTTTTTAAAAGTCATTATGTTAAGCCCTCTTGAGTCTCCAGTTACCTTAACTGCAGACACAGTGTCTTGCAAATTACCAACATGTGTAGGACTAGAATAAGAGAGAGAATACTTCCCACATCAAGTAGCAAGACTTTTGGCAGTAAGACTTGAGGGAGACTGGTGAGAGACACTGGCGACGGTGGTGAAGAGACTGTGGCACTAACTCTGGAGAATCTGTGGCAAGGTGTGACCTGAGGCTTCTTGCATTTGTGCTGGCCACAGATAAAGGTTCTGCTGTTCTTGGCCTTTGATGATGGAAGGAAAAGCTGTTTGCTGAACTGAAGCCAGAGCCTGGACTAAATTGAGGAATTGTGTCTTGCAACTGCTGGGCTAAAACCTGAGATTTACATTGGTTGGTATTCTTTACCTCCCCCACTCTCAGCTTATTTCCCTAATAAACCCCAGTCTCGGTACCACAATTGTGAGTCTGGGAGCCAAGGCTGAATGAATGAACCTCTTGCTGCTGCAGTGGCTCTGAAGGCACCATGGGGCTGGCCTACAAGCTCTTTATCTACTTTCTACTCTGGGGCAGCAAGGGCCTGTGTTATTCTCACTCTCCCTGGCCCTTTCAGAGAGATGCTCACAGCCCTATGGCCCCACTACCGTTTTTTCTCTTTAGACAACACCCAGAGTAACTAACAATAGTAAAAAAATTCAAAAGGCCTGTTGCACTGGGAAAAATCTGCTGTCAAGGACTTCTCAAAAGTGACAAAGAAAAACAACTATGAGATATCATCTCACTCCAGTGGAATAACAAAATTTAACAGAACAGCAAGAAACAAATGCTGGTGAGG